AAATAAAAAATAAAATAAAAATAAATTAAAAGAAAAGGATAAGTTCTGTCTCTCTCTCTCTCTTTCTATAATATTCGAAATAGTTATTCATAGAAAATGGTTAGAACATTGATAGGATTTATACGTGTTCCTTAATAGAGAAAAATAGTATAAAAATAATATAAAAAAAAGAAATTAGTAGAAAAGGATGAGTTGAGTATTTTTGTTTGTCTTTCTTTATATTTTTATCATTTTCTTTCTCTTTGTTTCTCCTTCGAATACGCAGGCGTGGCTCTAGTGTCGTGAGTATGTTTATCTTATAGAATCCTCACACCCATTCTCTCTCGCCTTACCTTAAGTCAAACGTGCCTCGGAATGCAAAGAACTCCAACGTGCTTTAAGATTACACGTCTTGTATATAAGCTTAACGAGTTTCGATAGTATACGCGAGCACCCACTTTCCTTTTCCCACCTCCGTTTTTCATTTATCCTTTAAAACATTCATAATATAATGTTTCTACGATGATTCACTTTTATTTATGATGAATCAATTAAAATCATATAATATATTTATGTTAACAACCAAAAAAATACTTTATTAAATATTTCTTTTCATTTAAATTATATATTGTTCGCGCGGGTTTAACAAATTTTGTTTTAGAGAGAAATATATTTAAATTATGAAATAAATATATATATATTATTTTATGGAATATAAAATGTGTTTAGTTGGATAAGAACAATTTATTTTCTCGTTAATAAAGAAATAATGTAATTTGTGTAATTTTGCATGAACATAAATGATATTTACGTTTCATTCTAATTTGCGTATTCTTCGTTCAATTTCTCCTTTTACTTATTATTATTAATCAAATATAAAATGAAAGAGTAAAACATTTTCTTATATTAAGAAAATATTATATATTACATACATTAAATTATTTGATAATATATTTATTATAATAATTTATATTACGTCAACGGTCTCTAGTTACGTTAAATAATTAATTTCCCCGTCAGATTATTAAAGTTAAATAACGTATGAAGACATTTAGTTAAATGAATGAGGAATATATATACATCCACTTTGATAGTATTTAATAAAATGTGAATAATGTGTTCGTAGAAAAGTATAAATTTCGAATTCGTAAAATGATAGAACAAAAAAAGATACAGAAAATATTCAAAAGAATTAATCAATAACAAATATATATGCTTCTTTATTGTTTGTTAAATATTCAAATTAGTAACTTGGAGTATTCCAAACTTCGTATATTTTTTGTAAAAAAATTGATGAAACGTCGAAATTTATTTGATCGATACAATATTACATAGGAAAGTTTCAAAATTATTAAAATATTTTCTTTAAATCTTAAATCTTTTCTGTTATAAAACGATTCTTCTAACAAACTCTATAATGTATGATAGTAACTATACTTATATATACATACATATAAGAATATGTATCTTCTTAAATGTGTATGTATAATATAAAAAAACTAAGAGTTGCGGTTTTAAAAGATGTACCGTCGCCACCTTTCTCATTCGCATCTTATAACAAACTTTTAGCACTGTTGGGAACTTACGGAATGAACTGAACTCACGTTCGTGAAACCCTATGTATCGTACAAGTAAACAGGGCTTCAGCCAAGTATTCTTGCACACATAACAGCACGCACGGGTGGATGGGTTTCTATCGTATCTTATTCTATCCTATCCTATCCTATATCGTATCACAACGTTTGTTCTTTCTTTTCTATAGGTTATATAAATAAAGCCGATATTTTAGAATAAAAAATTAACAGCTGATCCATAAAACGTGAACTCTTATACTCTATTGATTTCTTTTTCTCTCTTTTGTTTTGGTTTTTTTCTTTTTTTTTTTTTTTAACAAGGAAAATTCATTTAGATTTTTTTCAACGTTGACCTTTGGAAATTATATATATATAAATCTGTTTTTTATTAAATAAAAACTTTTTCAAATACGTTTGAATCATTATTCTCGTTTTAGTTTAAAGTTAAATGAATTTATATTAATTGCAATATTGACTGTTATTTTTTTTTTTTGTCTTAATATGTTTTAATTAAATTGTTACTAATATTTTAGCAGTAATCTATGTTGTATAACTTTTATTCTTTATATAATTAAAACTATTTTAATATTTATATA